GTACTTTTCCGCCAGCCTGCAGCCAGGGCGCCCGCCCCTCCTCCCGCGCCGTCGGCGACGCCCCTGCTCACTTCCCACGAGAATCGGAGCTCGTGAGGGAGAGTGCTTTCATGCAGCGGGGCCACTGCCCTGCAGCCGCGCCCCAAGTCACACGGTCCAACCCGAGAGCGCTCCACACGGGACAGCCCGGGCTCCCGCACCTTCTAGAAAAGCCGCCCCGGCTCCAGCACCTTCTAGAAAAGCCGCCGAGGCCGCGGCCCGCCGGCGCGGCTGCGCCCCCTGCTGGAGGCACCTGCAGCTCGCTGCAGCTCGCTGTGGCCGGCGGGAGCTGAGCACCCCGGGGAGCTGAGCACCCAGATGAGCCAGGAAAAGCGCACAACTCCTTCTCCCCTCACCTCCGCCGACCCGCAAAACCGATGACAACACTTTCCGGAAAGCACCTGCCATTAAACACAAAGGGTGCCTGGCTGGCGCTCCGAGGACAGAGGCCCGGGGCCAGCGGCAGGCACACCGCCCATCCGACCTGCACTCCTGCCTCACGCTGGCCCTCCCGCGCCTCGCACAGACGGCCAGCAGCCAGCCTGAATGCTGCCACGGCCTCACGCCCTGGGGTGCCACGGGAGGACAGAAGCCCGCCCAGTAAGCAGGGGCGGGCATGGTGCCCTCGCTCGGGGCCCGGGAGCCAGGCATCGCCCACGGCCCATCTTGGACAACACATTTTGGTGACATGAGCCAAGAACCACGTCCCAGAGCTGAGGGAAGCAGGCATCGGGGGTGGAACAAACGTCCCTTCCGGTGAGTCGCTCAGCACTGAGGCACGGGCTGAGGCGGGCCCACTACGCTCACCTCACTGCAGAAGCTCCGGGCACCTGCTCCCCAAGCTGACCCCAGGCTGAACAGCCTGCCACACGTGCAGTGTCCCCGTCCGATCCAAGTGGAGGACAACCCCACACCCAGGCCTGGGGGGCAGCGCGTGTCCACCCCTGACAGGCAGATCCTGGCAGGGCTGACCAACTCTGCAGAGCGGAGCCCTGTACCGCGGAGGCTGCAGGTGCACGGCCTGAGGAGATGGGATGAGGCCGCAGGCTGCAGGTAGCCACAGGGGCCTCCACGGCCGGAGAAAGCCCAGCTGCCCAGCCCTGCACGCACCCCAAGAGGCCTTCTCCCGCAGGGCCTAGCCGCTGTCCTGTGCACGGCATCCCCCACAGTGGCCCTGACAACAGTCCGCCGTGCTCCCAGGAGGAGCTGGCCTCTCGCCAGCCAGGCCAACCCGGAGGCAGGCAGCCTTACCTGAACATCCGGCCCGGCCTCGGGCGCCCGCGGCTCCTCCTCCGTGCAGGCCTTCCTGCGTCTTTTGCTCTTTCGCTCTGGCCCTCCGGGAACTTTTCTCTTCTGTTTTGTCATTCTACAAGAAAGTAAGCTGTACTGGGTGCCTCTTCAAAGTAGGGGGGCATTCCCGTCAGGGAACGAAGTGGGGCCAACCCTCAGGGAGCCCACGTGCCATCGCCCTGAGCAGCCAGAAGTAGAGGGGCAATCCCATCAGGGAGCCCACGTGCCATCGCCCTGAGCAGCCAGAAGTAGGGGGGCATTCCCATCAGGGAGCCCACGTGCCATCGCCTGAGCACTCAGCACATTCCTGCCTTTTTGCTGGTGTTTTTATTGAACACATCTGCAAACACGCACACTTGACAACTCAACAGAAAAGATTTTTTAAAACTTAATTAATTGTAAGGTCAGTTACACAAAGATCTTCCATTTCCAATGGTCTAAGTAAGTACAAACAGCTTAGAAAAAAAAGTTAAACTGGACTATAATTCAATTAAGGTTTTCGTACTGCAAGTGACACCAGCCAGGACGTGGTGCAGCGGGCTGAGCGGCCACTCGCAGCACCGGCACCTCCAGGGCCCTATCTGAACATCGTGTATGCCACTCCACTCCGGCTCCCTGCTCAGGGCCTGGGGAGGCCGCGGAGGGTGGCCCACATGCCAGGGCCCTGTCCCACAGGGCAGGCCGCAGGGAGCTCCTGGCTCCCGCCTGCCTCAGCCCTGGGAGCGGACCAGTGGATGGAAGGTCTCTACCTCTCTCTGCAGCTGTGCCTGAAAAATAAATAAATGCAACCGTTAGCACAAGGCCACCCAGTCTCGGCAGAAACGAGCACACGCCTCCTGCAAAGAGCCTACTGTGGAGGTGCGCGAACAAATCCCACAGCAATGAACACGCTGCCAAGAGGGGGTGCATGCAACCACCCAGCCCACGGCGATGGGGCACCCGAGGGTGCTGCCGTGGGAGACAGCTATACACGAGTGTGCATGTGCACACTCACACACGGCTGTGGCTCTCGGGGATCCCTGAGGCGTGACAGGAGGCATCAGAGGCCACGCACGGCCCGGACCCTGACTGATGACTACCCACGCAGAGAGCAATCCCAGCCCCTCACACACAGCTGAGCCATGGCAGTGGGCATCGGAGGCCACGCACGGCCCGGACCCTGACTGACGACTGCCCACACAGAGAGCAGTCCCAGCCCCTCACACACGGCTGAGCCACGGCAGTGGGCATCGGAGGCCATACAAGGCCTGGGCCCTGGCTGACCCTTACCGACCTACTGCCCACTTGGCGGCCGCAGCCCCAGCTTACACTGCCCTTCCCCACCAGGGCCATACCCTGAGCCCTGCTGCTACCCCTCCTGCCCTGACCTGGAGGCCCAAAGGGAGAGCTCCGGACAGCCACCTGATGAGCACACTGAGTTGAAACCTGGGGCCCACCCCACCCACACCTGGCCAGATGTCGGTGCAGTGCGCCCGGGCCCTGACCAGCAGCTGCCTGGACCACGCACAGAGAAGGTTCCCTCTGTCACACCTTGCCACCCTCTAGCCAGGGCTGAGGGCCCCACGTGAGGCCACACACGGGGATGGTGCCTGCAGGTCTGCCTGGGACCACAGCCCTCCGGGGATCTCAGCCCGCTCTCCGGAGACCTCAGCCCGCCCAGGACCACAGCCGCCCTCCGGGGACCTCAGACTGCCCTCCGAGGACCTCCGGGGACCTCAGCCCGCCCTCTGGGGACGGACCTCAGCCTGCCCTTCAGGGAGCTCAGCCCGCCCTCCAAGGACCACAACCCACCCTCCCAGGACCACAGCCCTCCCAGGACCCCAGCCCGCCCGACCGGGACCTCAGCCCGACCAGGACCATAGCCCACCTGCCCGCCCTCCGAGGACCACAGCCCACCTGCCCGCCCTCCGAGGACCACAGCCCAGCCTCCCAGGACCCCAGCCCGCCCTCCGGGACCACAGCCCACCCAGGAACTCAGCCCACCTGCCCCGTGGTGCCCCAACACCAGCTTCCGCAGGTTCCGCCTCTGGGCACGCGGCGCCTCTCATTGGACAACGCCCGCCTCCGTCTTAACGCCAGCCAATGGCAAGTACCCGATGCGGGCGCTGACTGGTGACGCCATCACTAGCAGACGCCGGTCGCCAAGGCAACTGGCTCGCGCCCCGTGCCGCACACGTGCTTTTCAATCATTTTTAAAGATGTCTTTACTTGAAAGGTAATAGAAGCCCCAGTGTCCGCCGCGGCCTGGGTGGGGCCGTGGGTGCAAGGAGCCATGAGCCTTGGCCACAGGGCAGACACTGTCAAGAGCTGAGGTCCAGAGCAAACCCCGCCGCCCTACAGCCGAGAATGGGACGGGGAACCGGGACGCGCCGAGGTGCGGGGGGACGCGCCGAGGGGAACGGGGAGACGGGGACGCGCTGAGGGGAACGGGGACGCGCTGAGGGGAACAAGAACACACTGTGGCGCAGGGCAGGCAGGGTGCAGGACATGGGCATGGCAAGTGGCTCATGTGAGGCCTGATCCTGTCCTGCTTATAACCTCTTAGGGAACTCCCACTGCCCGCCCTCAGACCAACAGAGAAAGCCAGCACAGGATTCAGGCCGCTAGCCTGGCTGGTGTCCAGCCTCCCGCCAGCACGTGGTGGAGCGCCCACTCCTGCTTTCAGCCTGAACCGGGAGAGGAGACCCTGGAAGCCTCCCAGGGGACACACTGCTTCCAGTTCCCTCACAGCAGCGACGTGTCACCCTGTTCTAGAGCCAGCGGCTTGTACAGGAACGTCCCTGGGTGGCAGGCAGTCTCTGTGGAGAGCAGGGGAGGCCTGCGGGCTGCCCGGGGGCTAGTGACACAGGGGCTGCAGCCTGCACGGGACACACACACCGAGCTTTGCACTTGTCCAGTGCTGGACGCAGCAGGGTGGAGCTGCGATCCAGGCCTGGGGTCTGAACGCCTCTGGGGAGTGGACCAGCTCCCAAGGCAGGTGAGACCTCAGGGCAAGGCAGAGGTGGCCGGCCTGCTCTCTGCTCCCTCGATCCCGTGACGGTCCCATCTCGTCCTCTGGCGTCACCAGATGTTGCTGGGACCTGGCCTGTGGCCTGCACAGGGTCAGCCCAAGCACGCGTCCCTCCCTCCCCTGCACTCCTCCACATATTTCTGCTCCAGAGATACACAGCTGACTCACTCGGGGCCACAAGATGGCCTTGGCAGCCGGCGCGCCACACACACACACACGAACCAGGGTACATTTAGCACCAGGCAGTGGCCAGCCCGGCCTCCAGCAGCCTAGGAGCCTGCTGCAGTGTGCCTGCCTCTGGGCAGGGATGTTGTCTCCGCCTGCCGAAAGCACACAGGATCCATACGCAGGTGCCCCTCCTTCACAACCAGAGTCCAGGCCTGCAGCCAGCTCTGTGGCGAACTCCCCTGGGCCCAGGACTTCCTCTGGTGCTGGCCAACAGCAAGGCCTCTGTGCGTCAGCTCCTGACCCGTGTCCCCTGAGCCAGCCAGGCCACGCCCTGAAAGTGCCCTCCCACCCAACCCTGGAAGGTCCCACAGCCACCCCAGCCAGCGCGGGATGGGGAGTCAGACACAGCACAAAGTAACAGGCCTCCCTGTTTATTCGTGCCAGGTTTAGGCTCCCATAGCAGCTGACCTGACAGAAATGCAATGGCGCAGCCTGTCCCTGTGACCTGCTGTCACACCAGGGCCAAGGGCCAGGAGCCATCGCTGGGCAGTCAGCCCTAGACATGCATCAGGGACACCACACGGAGAGGCCGCCCACAAGCCAGCAACCAGGGGTCCCAGCAAAGCCCTCAGAGCAGGGCCAGCGACCCACAGATGCCACCCTTGTCTTCAGCCAGCTGATGTGCAGGGCTGGGGGCAGCCAGACCCTGACAGCAAGGACTCGCAGTCAGGGCTGAGCTAGGAGCCTGCCCCAGCCTGACCAGGGCCATGTCTCCTCAGCAGGCCGAGACGGCAGGCCTGCCACAGCGGTGGTCCAGGGGGTGTCTGTGCCGGATGTAGAAGTGGGCCTGATACCAGGTGTCCCCTCAGCAGGCCGAGACGGCAGGGCGGCCACAGTGGTGGTCCAGGGGGTGTCTGTGCCGGATGCAGAAGTGGGCCCGACATTGGGCACACGCCACAGGCAGCAGCTCCTTCCTCTTGCAGCCCTCTCTCGAGCAGCGGAACGTGAAAACCTGCAGAGACACGGATACTCCCTGAGGCCTTCTCAGCAGTCCAGGGTTACTCCTACCCACACCGGAGGGCCCGGGTCTCCAAGCAGGCCAAGGGGATAGTGAGGCCCAGGCTGGAGACACCCGTGAAGTGGACCAGGGAGACAGGAACTGGCTTGGTGAGCAACACCAGCCTCCAAGGCCATGGGCCAGGGCCTGCCCCCAGCCCCTCTGGACCCCCCAGAAGGCAGCAGGAAGACTCCAGCGGCAGGATCCCGGCCAGAGCTCCCAGCCTGGCTATTGGAAGCATGTTGGGAATGAATTAAGGGGACAGGAATGAGCTTTCAAATAAATACGTTAAAAATAAAAAAGCAGCAAAGGAAGAAGGTGAAGAAAGCAGACCAGCACAGCCCGAGGCCAGTGCACAGGGCAGGCTGGCGCTTGCCCGGCCCAGACAGGTGACTGTCCACCAGTTCCCTGCACGCATGGCCACTGCACTTCAGAGCGGATAGATTGGGCAACACAGGTGCCCAGGCAGGTTGACCTGTGATGGCCCAGGGTACCCTGCAGGGGTGGTAGGGGCACAGGGACAAGGGTGTGGGCAGAGTGCCAGTGAGTGCCACGGAGCACCATGGAGTGGGCAGAGTGCCACAGGGCAGGTGGAGCACCACAGAGCATCATGAAGCGGGCAGAGCACCAGAGTGGGCAGTGCCAGGGAGTACCACAGAGCAGGCAGAGCACCACGGAGCAGGCAGAGCACCAGAGTGGGCAGTGCCAGGAAGCACCACAGAGCAGGCAGAGTGCTACAGAGAACCAGAGTGGACAGTGCCAGGGAGCAAGCACCACAGGGCAGGCAGAGCACCACAGAGCAGGCAGAGCACCAGAGTGGGCAGTGCCAGGAGCACCACAGAGCAGGCAGAGTGCCACAGAGCAGGCAGAGCACCACAGAGCAGGCAGAGTGCCACAGAAAACCACAGTGGGCAGTGCCAGGGAGCACCACAGGGCAGGCAGAGCACCAGAGTGGGCAGTGCCAGGGAGCACCACAGAGCAGGCAGAGCACCAGAGTGGGCAGTGCCAGGGAGCACCACAGAGCAGGCAGAGTACCACAGAGCATCATGGAGCGAGCAGAGCATCACAGAGCATCATGGAGCAGGCAGAGCACCAGAGTGGGCAGTGCCAGGGAGCACCACAGGGCAGGCAGAGCACCATGGAGCCAGCAGAGTGCCATAGAGCAGCACGGAGCGGGCAGTTTTGGGAGGGCAGGAGAACCAGAGCCGAAAGGCCCCCCGTGGGCTCCCATGCCCAGGGCTGTGTGTGGCAGACATGGGGTACAGTACAGTTAGTGTAAGTGCTGGAGGTGAGCTAATGGGCTGCACATGAGCGCTTTTGGGATCCGTGCAGTGGATGTGGGGAACCGGAAGGTGTGAAGAGCATTGTTCCATTGCAGGCAGGGCCGCAAGGAACTTCCCGCTGTATGGCAGAGCCCGGCGGATGTCTCTACGACCACCTGAACCCAGCTTCACCTTCCTTTGCATGCACACCGACCACCTTGCGAAAGAATTCTAATCCATTCAGGCATTGTTTGCTACTGTGGAATTGGCTTTTTACTCAGTGTGAGCTTGGAGGTTAATGTCAATAATAATGTCTTGCAAAAGGGCCTTCTATTATTCCTACTGTCTTGGCTGTCCAGTACGATCATGAAATCGTAGTGGTCCATTTCTTTCGTCTACGCCTCATCCACGCACCCTTCTTGAGTTCCAAACTTGGCTGGAGCTGGACTCCGACATGGTGCTTTAAGCACACCTGGAAGCTGACCCAGGCCCACCTGAGACCAGGCGAGAGGCCCAGGCTGACCCAGGTCCACCTGAGACTGGGGGAGAGGCCCAGGCTGACCCAGGCCCACCTGAGACCAGGCGAGAGGCCCAGGCTGACCCAGGCCCACCTGAGACCAGGGAAGAGGCCCAGGCTGACCCAGGCACACCTGAGACCAGGGGAGAAGCCCAGGCTGACCCAGGCCCACCTGAGACCAGGGAAGAGGCCCAGGCTGACCCAGGCACACCTGAGACCAGGGAAGAGGCTCAGGCTGCCAGCAGACACCCAGGCCCACTAGGGGCTGAGAGCAGCACAGATGGGGCCTCCCACGAGAAAGCAGAGGCGAGGACGCGAACCAGGACTGCAGACATGCCTGGGAGGTGGTGAGGCAAGCAGTGGCGGAGAACGCCCTCGGTAAGAAGACATGGTCTGTGCCTCGCCCCAGAGCAAGAAGACGCCATGCGGAAAGGACCTAGGACCCACGAGACCATGCCAGGGTCCTGTCCCCCTCGCCCAGTCCCACAGCCATGGCACAGAAGCCGCAGAGCGCAGGGGTCACTCAGCGCCAGGTCCAGGAGAGTGAGACAGGCTGAGGACACAGCCAGACAGGAGCGGAACAGCGGCCCCTGGCACGCACCGCTGGCTCAGGGCCGGCGTGGGGGTCGCCCAGGGACCTCCTCCTGGCACGCACCGCTGGCTCAGGGCCGGCGTGGGGGTCGCCCAGAGAGCTCTCCTCCTGCTGCAGGCACTGGGCTCCACACTGCACTGGCACTACTGAGCAGGGGTATGAGGTGTTTGAAGCCAATGGCCCTGCACCTTCTGAGGAATTGGCACCTTAAAAACTGCATGTCCAGAGACTAAAAAGAAATTACTTAACAAGAAAAAGTTTCGGGCCTGGCGGCGTGGCCTAGCAGCTAAAGTCCTCGCCTTGAACGCACCCAGGATCCCATATGGGCGCCGGATCTAATCCCGGCAGCTCCACTTCCCATCCAGCTCCCTGCTTGTGGCCTGGAAAAACAGTCCCAAAGCCTTGGGACCCTGCACCCACGTGGGAGACCTGCAGGAAGTTCCTGGCTCCTGGCTCTGGATCGGCACAGCACCAGGCATTATGCTCACTTGGGGAGTGAATCATCGGACGGAAGATCTTCCTCTCTGTCTCTCCTCCTATCTGTATATCTGACTTCGTAATAAAAATAAATAAATGTTTAAAAAATAAATAAATAAATAAGAAAAAGTTTCCAGAACTTTCTAGAAAACTTGAGTGTGTCTCCAGCTCAGGATGAAACGCAACATGCTGTGAAGAGGCAAGGGCCTCTGCTGGGAGCTGGGCAAGGCGGCTTCACTGCAGCAGGTGCTGGGGCCACGGGGGCACCAAGGCTAGCCCACCCTGAGTCACCATGGACACCAAGGCTAGCCCACCCTGAGTCACCGCTACCTCCCACCAGCTCCCGCTGCTGCACACCCCGGGGTGGGGGTGTTGCCTGCTGGATCCACTGCTCCCAGGGAAGACCCGGAAGGAGTTCCCAGCTCCCTGCTGTTGTGGGCACTTGGGGAGCGAACCAGACAATGTAGACAACCGTTACTCACCTTTCCAGCAAATTAAGTTTAAAATAAAACCGGAGGACCTGGTTATACTGCCACACCCAGAGCTGTCCTGCCTGCCCTTGGACGTTCAAGGCTCCCCTACCTTCTCCCCACTCTTCCCAGGGCGCGACCTGCAGCCTCCATCCATGTGCTCGCCGACCACCACATCCGCCACCTGCCCCCTTCTCACTGGGACAGGGACGTGGCAAAGTGGACACACAGGGACACGGACATCCTAGAACAGAGCAGGGAGGCGGTGAGGGGACTCAGATGCAGGGCGCCCACCCCGGGGAGCCCCAGGGGCCCCACTGCCACCACCCTGAAACAGCATGGAAACAGTGAGGGGACTCAGACACGGGGTACCTGCCTACCCAGGGGCCCCACTGCCACAGGCAACATGGGAAAAAACAGAGCTGTCGAGGGACCTCCAGCCGGACCCCGCCCCCATGGGATGGGCAGGCCTGTGGACAAGGCCCCTGGGCCTGGCCAAGCCGGGGTGAGTCACTCCCCACCCCACCCACTGCAGGCTCGCGCCATGGCATGTGACACTAAGTCATCTCCCATCTGCTGCCGGGGTGACCCACCCGGTGACACGGGCAGGGACATCCAGGCTGCCAGTGACTATAGCTCTCCTCTGTGCCACGTGCAGAGCCAAGCCCGGGGCAGGACTCACAGCCAAGGAGTGGGCCTTTCTGCACGGCCCCCAGTGGGAGTGAGCCAGAGTGCCACGTGCAGGGGCACGGAAGGAGACGCTAAGGGGAGGGGTGTGGCCCCCCCTTGCCATTTGCTCTAACACCCCAGGATGTGGTGCCTGTGACTGGAGCTCCCGCCCCATCTGAATTTCGTGGACTGACTGCCGGGAGGCTTTGCGTGGCCCCTGGACAGAGCAGCTCCCATGGGTTACCTTCTGGAAGGCCAGGGGGCAGCTGTGTGCAGCGCATGTGACATGGTCTTTACAGAAGTCTCGGTGGCACTCGCTGCACCTCAGCGGGAGGAAGTCTGCAGGCACAAGAGGAAAGAAGGTCATGAGCAAGACCCCAGCCATGCTGCCCACCCCGGCCATGGGCCAGCCCTCCCCAGGAGGTGGGCGGTCCCCAGCAGGACCCCCGCCATGAGTCAGCCCCCAGCAGGACCCCCCCCAGGGTCACGGGTCAGCCCCCAGGAGGTGGGCAGCCCCAGCAGAACCCCCCCCCATGGGTGAGCCCACAACAGGACACCCCTGCCATGGGTCAGCCCCCAGCAGGACCACCCCCCCAGCATGGACCAGCCCTAGGAGGTGGGCAGCCCCAGCAGGACCCCACTGCCCTGCCATGGGCCAACCCCCAGCAGGTAGGCAGCCCCAGCCAGCCATGGACCAGCCCCAGGAGGTGGGTAGCCCACAGCAGAATCCACCCCGGGGCCATGGGTCAGCCCCCAGCAGGACCACCCCCCCAGCATGGACCAGCCCCAGGAGAATCTACCCCAGGGCCATGGGCCAGCCCCTACAGGTGGGCAGCCCCCAGCAAGACCCCGGCCACGGGACAGCCCTCCAGGAGGTGGGCAGCCCCAGCAGGACCCCACTCCCCTGCCATGGGTCAGCCCCCAGCAGGACCACCCCCCCAGCATGGACCAGCCCCAAGTGGGCAGCCCCAGCAGGACCCCACTCCCCCGCCATGGGTCAGCCCACAGCAGGTAGGCAGCCCCAGCCAGCCCTCCCAGGCGCTCACCCAGCCGCCTGCACGTCTTCTCGGAGCAGTGCTTCCCCAAGTCCGGGAACTCCATGGCCAGCGGACGGCAGGGCCGGACGTCACCTGGGCAGCCACGGGGGCAGGCGTGAAGGCGAGGCGTGCAGGGACGGGGGTCTGCGCGCACCCACCACCCGGAGCTGCACCTCGCACCTGATGACAGCTCTGCCCGGGCTTCCGCCGGCGTCGCCGCCAGGTGCCCAGGTCCACGGCAGCGGCCGAGCTCGGTTCCCTGCTCGGGGCGGACGGCCAGGCGACCCCAGAACCGCACGGCGCCCCGCCATTTATCCGCGCGGGAGACCACGGCCGTTCCGGCGCGCCCCTGTCGCGTCACCGCCGGCCGGCCAATCCCTCCGCGGCGCAGCCGGTGACATCAGCGGCCGGTGCCGCCGCGCCACACCCCTTCTAGAACAGTCCAGCCGAGTCACCATGAGGCAGCGCCAGGCCGAGGTGCCTGAGGGTGGCCTGAGGTGACTGGGGGTGGTTGAGGGGTGGCCGGGGGTGACGGGGACGTGGCCAGGATGGTTGGGGTGACCGGCGTGGCCGAAGCCTAGCTGAGGTGGCCAAGGTGGCCGGGGGCGATCAGGGGTGACCTAGGTGGCCGGGGTGTCCTAGGCCTAGCGGGGATGGCCGGAGTAGCTGAGGCCTAATTGAGGTGGCCAAGGTGGCCGGGGGCGATCAGGGGTGACCGAGGTGGCCGGGGTGTCCGAGGCCTAGCTGAGGTGGCCGAGGGTGGCCGGGGTGGCGGAGGCCTGGCTGAGGCGAGCCCGGGGGCACCACCGTGAAGGCCACGGGGGTGGGGAACCCGGCGTGGACCCAGAGGCCTCCAGTATCCCAAACACCCGTCCTTAAAGTGACTTCAGACGTGCAGAGCAGTGCTGGTTGCTGAGCCTGGGCTGGGCATGGGCTACACCTGCAGACTCGGTGCCCGGCAGGAGCCTAGTCTGTATGGGTCTCGGGGTGTGCCTGAACCCCCTTTGTGGTGACTACACCGCTCAAGCGCACCCCTCGGCACCCCAGAACTTGTTTCCCTGAGGCAGGACCTGCCCAGTCACCTTGTTGGCCGCGCCCAGGGCCCAGGCAGAGGGGCCATCTGGGGCCATCCGTGTCCTCCAGGGCATCTTGGACATCTGGGCCAGTGGGAGTCCTGCTGGGTCACTGCGTGACCAGCGGGAAGTGGCCTTTGCACGCAAGCTCCCGGACCCCAGGCCCGAGCACACGGACCCCGACACTTCCTGGCTGGCCTATCGTCCGCCAGTGGCCACAGTGGGAAGCTGTGAGCCTGGAGCTCCATTGGCGTGTCCACCCGTGCCCCATGGGATGCAGGAAGCTGCCTGCTTGGACCGTCCCCTGCTGTCGCTGCAGGTGCACGACCAAGGAGCTGGATGGTAACGGGGTGCCCTGGACACTCGACACCGTGGCTCTGACGTGGGCTGCCAGGTCAGCGGGCAGCAGTGGCCTGTAGGACAATTGATTTCCCACCACCAGGGAAAGAAAAGTATCGCCCGATGTTGTAAAGGCCTTTATTCGGGGGGGTTCTGTTCTCGGCCTTTCCTCCTTGCAGCAGAGAGGCAGAGGGGAGCTGTGGGAACCAAAAGGCCCACAAGGGAGCGCACAGGAGGCTTTTCTACCCCTCCTGACACGGACAGTGGAGTGAGCGCAGCTCTGGTCCTTATTAGGAAAGGAAATGCTGGCCCAAGTCCTTCATTGGTCCACAGGGCTGTGCTGCCCTGGTGGACTGCTGCTTGGGGATTGGGCCTGAGGTCTGAGTGACGCAACCTCGGCCCTCCTGTAATCGCAGCAACCATCAGCAATGACAGGCTTGAGGGGACTGTGTAAGCTCCAACCTTCCTCCCTTATCCTGTGTGATCCTCAGTCTGTAAAAGCCTGACGCTTAGAATCAACATGGCGGAAAGGGTAAGGACACGTTTAAACATATTAGCCAGTGTGAAGCAGAGAGGGCACATTCCAGGAAATAGAGGAGGACAGAACAACAGCAGAGGGCTCCTGGAGACCGACAGACACAGGAAAGCAGTGGACACAGGGTGTGGTGTTGCAGTGATAGACGCCCCAATGGCATTCAGCAACTGGTGATCTGAATCCATCGGCAGCTGGAATTCCTCCAGCAACAAGGTGGGAAGGGGTGCTTACTAGGAGCTCAGGAGGTGAGCTCAGACAAAGATCTGCTTGTCCTGCGGTTAAAGTCCTCGCCTTGAGTGCACCAGGATCCCATATGGGCACTGGTTCTAATCTCGGCAGCTTCACTTCCTATCCAGCTCCCTGCTTGTGACCTGGGAAAGCAGTCGAGGACGGCCCAAGTCTTTGGGATCCTGCACAAATGTGGGAGACCTGGAGGAAGTTCCTGGCTCCTGGCTCTGGATTGGCACAGCACCGGCCATTGCACTCACTTGGGAAGTGAATCATCGAATGGAAGATCTTCCTTTCTGCCTCTCTTCCTCTCTGTATATCTGACTTTGTAATAAAAATAAATAAATCTTTAAAAAAAGATTTATAGGGACAACAGTGAGCTGGGCATGCCCTGAGCACTAGTCCCTCACGAAAAATAATACTGACTTTGGCATTGTTCGGATTGAAATAGGTCCATGTGGCCCTCAGGCCTGACAGCCAACAGGTTCCAGCATGATCACTAGCAACAGCAAACAAACAGCCATGTACCAACTGCAATAAGTGAAATCAAACTATGGACTTGTGGGTGACACAGCTTAAAAACCTGCCCCAAGGAGAAGACTCTGCTATCTAGAAGTACAATGATCAAGAGCAAAAGAGACAAAGGCACAATGAATATTACTGAAGACTCCCATGCAAAGGAGAAAAACCCTATGCCAGCCTCAGAGTTAACTGAGGAAGACATCGAGAGAATGGGTGATACAAAATTCAAAACACTTGTTATTAAGCTTCCTATCAAATATGAGAAGCACATAAAGCAAGCGTTCAAGGAATTTAAGGAATATTTCACACAGGAAATAGCAGTAATGAATCAGATGAAAGGTGATATGTCAGAAATGAAGAATACAGTGGAGGATCTCCAAAACAGAATGAAGGAGACAGAAGAATCTCAGAATTGGAAGATATTTCCTGTCACCAGGGGGAAGCAAACAAAAAGCTTGAAGCAGAGCTGGGTCAAGCTAAAAAAAAAGAAGTATTTAAGAGTTGAAAGACCCCTATTAAAAGGCCAAATATAAGAGTTATGGGGCCCGGCGCGGTGGCGCGGTGGTTAAGGTCCTCGCCTTGCATGCCCGGGATCCCATATGGGTACCGGTTCCCATCCAGCTCCCTGCCTGTGGCCAGGGAAAGCAGTCAAGGACAGCCCAAAGCTTTGGGACCCTGCACCCATGTGGGAGACCCAGAAGAGGCTCCTGGCTTCGGATCGGCATAGCATCGGCCATTGCACTCACTTGGGGAGTGAATCATCGGACGGAAGATCTTCCTCTCTGTCTCTCCTCTCTGTATATCCGCCTTTCCAATTAAAAAAAAAAAAAGTTATGGGAGTCCCAGAAGGTGCAGAAAGAGAAGCTGGAACTAAAGGTGCATTCAATGAAACAATAAGGGAAAATTTCCTAACCTAGAAAAGGAATTAGGAAACAACATCCAGGAGGGGAACAGAACTCCCAACAGGGTTGACCAAAAGCGATCTTCACCACGACACATGATAATCAAGCTCTCTTCAATTAAACATAAAAAAAAGATCCTTACATATGCAGGTGAAAAAATCAATTGGCATATAAAGTAATGTCAATTAAACTCACAGGAGACCTCGACAGGCTAGAAGAGAATGGAGCAATATATTCCAGATTCTATTTTTTTAAAAAGATTTATTTATTTATTACGAAGTCAGATATACAGAGAAGAGGAGAAACAGAGAGGAAGATCTTTCGTCCGATGATTCACTCCCCAAGTGAGTGCAATGGCCAATGCTATGCCGATCCAAATCCAAAGCCAGGATCCAGGAACTTCTCCCGGGTATCCCACATGGGTGCAGGGTCCCAAAGCCTTGGGCCATCTTTGACTGCTTTCCCAGGCCACAAGCAAGGAGCTGGATGGGAAGTGGAGCTGCCGAGATTAGAACCAGTGCCCATGTGGGATCCTGGCGCATTCAAGGCAAGGAGTTTAGCCGCTAGGCCACACCGCCAGGCCCAATATTCCAGATTCTAAAAGAAAAAGACAAATTGTCGGCCCAGCATAACGTACCCAGCAAAGCTTTCCTTTATCTTTGAAAATGAAAATTCTTCCAAAGTAAACAAACAAAAGAATATGCCTCTTCTAAACCTGCCCTACAAATGATACTTAAATATGTTCTCTTGACAAAGAAGAATAGCACCCACCAAAACCAAAGGCAAATGTGAAGAACATCCAAGCAAAATAACAGCAGAAGACTAAATCAATGAACAACCCATTGTTAAAATGACAGGACCAAATTGCCACCCAGTCTTATTAGCCTCGAATGTAAATGGCTTAAATTGATCAATCAAACGTATTAGTAGACTGGATTGAGAAAACAAAACCCGGTGGGTCTCAGGACGGAGTGTCTCATGCCTGGATCCCAGACGACAGCCACCACGTGCACGTGGTGAGCTGTCCCCAGGTGGCCAGCGTGCCATTTGGCGCCAGGCTCCGCCTGCTGGCCACCTGGTAGGGGAGCTCTAGGGTTTTGGTTCTTTGAATCACTGCTTAGGTAGCTCCAGGTTGAACCCACAGTGCTTTGGGGATGTGAATCAATCCTAGATTCCCAATGACAGTAACCCTTCCTCTGAAGAACTTGTAATTACTTAACAATGCTGAGCACCAAACACCAGTTCATGCAAAAGCTAAGGGTCGGGGCTTGTCCAGCAGGATATCCTATTACCTGACATGATGATGGATCAGCAGAGGGGTCACATTAGGCAGGGCCATGACATTAACTAGCATTCGAGAACCATATCCGGGGTTAGATTCTGTGGGGGATGTGTGGGCCAAACCCTGTGGAAATTCTACCCCACTGGTTAGCTTAAGAGTTTGGATGGTGACAGACTAAGCTAGGTGTGACCAAGGAGCTTGCCATCAATCACAGGTAAAGGAACCCAACAGTCTGGACTGGTCAAGGCAGCAGCACCCGAATGTGCATCCTGAATAGGGTGAAGGGGTGGGCCGGGCTGCAACGTTTGCCAGCTCATACAAGGCTAAATGGAAGGCCAGACTGCACCAGGCACTGGCCTAAACCCCAAGGGCATGTATGAGAACTGGGTCTGGGAGTGGATCAAGTGGAG